GTGTCTGTGCGTGCGCGCGCGCAGAAGCCGCAGCACACTCCTCTGGAAAAAGGCTATGGTCGCCCCTCGTTATTCTTCTTCCCCCCCACGCCCCTCTTTTCCCCAAATAAGATGCTGCATGCCACACTTACTCGCCTCTCTCTCTCTCTCTCTCTCTCTCTCTCTCTCTCTCTCTCTCTCTCTCTCTCTCTCTCTCTCGCACGGGCGGGCGCACTGCTCCCGCTTCAGTTGCTCACGACTCTCGTTCGCTTTCCTCTATTATTTGTCGTCCTCTGCAGATTCGAGCGTTCGGTGTGTTCCTCTTCTCCTCTCCTCCCTCAGTCCTCTGTCTCCCAAGTCCACAGGCGCCTCCCTTCCCCTCCCCTTCCTCTCCTCCCACAACACTCACGTTGGAAACCACGCCCGACACGTCCCCGATTTCCACGTCAACCACTTCCGTTTCCACAAGACGACAAAACGAGTCAATTTTCTCGTTTTTTCCCCTTCAAACCATCGATTTCCACCCGAACAAGACCACAACAGTCTTCGAGCGAGAAGAAGCGAAACCCAATACACACACACAGCAGCAGCAGGCGCAGCAGCAGGCCAGTGAATCTTTCTGTCAATAATTAGAGGGCACTACTTTTCCGGCGTTGTCAACGTGGCACCCTCTCCACCCGATCTCTCCTCCTCTCCTCTTCCGTTCCTGACTGCATCTCTGTCCATCGACGGACACTACGTTCTGACCCGCCGTGTGGGCGCGCAAGCGCGCACGAGACAAGATTCTCGGCCTAAACGAGCGAGCGAGGGCGGGCGGGCTAGATTCTGTGCCGCTCGCGTGACGCTATCTGCGGCAAGGGCGTGAGTGGGAAGGGACTGATGTGCGAATGGAGGGCGGGGGCCGACGGGAGCTTGCGCCACGCTGCGCGCGCCGGCCGGCGCTCTCCCCGTCACAGTTAACACAACGGCTTCCGAGCGACAGCAGCGCGACAGGAGATGGGGGAGAGGTAGCCGGAGACGAGGGCGGGTGGTCGGTGGTGCGCCGACGGCAGCGCAGACTGGGCGCTGGGCGGCGCAGCGGGAGTTGCGCAAAGCACAGTCACGAGAGCGCGCCGGCCCAGGCTTACGTGAACGTTCGTCAGCCGACAACGCGCTCGCCGTGACGCGTCCTACGCGCTGCACGTGCCACGTGGCAAGGCCCCAGCTACAGCAGCGTCGGGCTCCAGACCACGAGCGCGCACCAGCGGCACGCCCAATCGTCCGCCGCACCGTCGCTCCGTCGCCACCCACCCTCTGCGACTCTCTCCGTATCTCTCTGTTCGACACAGGTGCGCTCCGGTCCCTCCTGGGCGGCCGCCCCTGCGCCAGGGCCCACCACTTCGCCGCCCGGACGGCGCCCACCTCACAACGCGCCGCCCATCTTGCGCTCTCCCCGTGATCTCGTCGCTCATGCAGAGGGGTTTCCGCACGGATCTCCGCGCCAAGCCCGCGGCCCCTTGCAGAAATGCATGATGCACAAGACCCAGGCCCCTCGTGGTCAGCCTGATTGTTTTCTTTTTTTTTTTCTCTTTTTTCTTTTTGGGGAATTTTCTATTTTTCTCTTTTTCCGTCTGTCTGTTTTCGCTTTTTCCTGTTCGCAGATTTTCCCCGCACGCCTTTCCTTTCCCAGACCCCTCAGGCCCCCTCGACCCGACTCCTTTCAACGTCCCGACAGCGAACAGAAGCGCACAGTCTCCCGGTCGTCTGGTCCCGACAGCAGTGCCTCAACAAGAAAAACGAGGGGGGTAAAAACACAACAAACCCAGCCCATGTGGCTGAATGGTAGACATGACGCAGACGAGAGCTCGACTCGAATTCTTCCACGCGATCAGTTGAATGAAAAAATAGCCTGTTCACGGTCATTTCAATGATGGGAAAAAAAAAAAAAAAAAAAAAAAAAAAAAAAAAAGGCTGGTTGGCTGCCTACTGAATACTGCACGCATGCACACCATCTGTTTTGCATTGTATTTAGAAAATCTGTCAATTTGTTTCTTTCTCACTGTTCGAACCCAACATTGGGTTGCCCTCCACTGCTGACCAAGGGTCTCGCTGCACTACCCTCCACTCTCCAGAAATTCAGAGAGTGGCCGGATAGTTGCCGATAGGTGGTCATCACTGCACTTACTATCCGTGGTCCCACACTCCAATTCGTGAGAGCACTAGCAGACGAGGCGACAGCACTGGACTACTTGGCGTCATAGGCATTTTGTCGGCCCCGACTCCAGGCACACTCTCCGAATTCAGAGCATTTTGGAGAGGCCCACCGAGGTCCATCCGGAAAACCTTCTTTGCAGGCTGGGAACTATCCGCGCGCAGATAGTTCTTCTCGATGGTGGTATCTGACAGCTATCCAAACATTTTCAAAGGGAGAAATCGGATGTTTAGTGCAGTGATGCCGAACTCTCCGATTTCGGAGAGTGGATAGTAGTGCAGCGAGACCCCAAATGTGCAAAATGAGAACGAACCTTCCCCTAGAACATGGGAACATACACGGCCATATTTTTTGTCTTTTCTGCATGTGGAGAATAGTGGAGCTAAGGGCCTCGCCGCACCACAGTCGAAAGGCAAAAAAATTCGACGGCTGTCAGAACAAATTCGACAGCCTCCATTCGACGGTTTGCCCACCTTTAGGGCCTCGCCACACCACTCTTGAAATGGGGAATTTTTTCAAAAGCTGTCAGACGCTCTCAAGAGTTGGGTTTTCAAGCATTTTCGGCCCCTCGCCACACAGCACTCTCGAAAGGGCGATGGTGTTGGACAACCGATGAAAAACGACAGTGGGAAAGGCATACGATAAGGTAGGCTGGGCTTTTGTGTTTACCACCCTAACTAAGATGGGGTTTGGGTCCCGATCCCTTCCCACCTTCCCAATTACCACTAATAGAAATGATCTGATGATAGAGTGTCACTAGGTGAAAGTTCCTGGGTCCTGAGGCAGCAGGCCTCCTCATTCGGACGAGGGACATTCACTAGGGGGAGTTTTTTCAAAAAAAAAAAAAAAAAACAGGTCCCAGGCTAGCGGAGTCTATTCCTCACCCACCCACCCAGCCCAATTTTATGGCACAAGAACCTCAACGCTAGCTTGAGAGGTAAAATTTGGCACCACAAGGAAAGGTGAAGAGGTGCGGGGCAGTTGATGCCGAGAACAGGTGGTTAGAGAAAAGAAGGACAGAAGGAAACAGAACATATATTTGATTCCCCCAGAATCAACATCCTCTCTTCAGTAGCTTGCAGAGATACTCCTAGGCAGCAATCATCACACTGTTACTGGTTCATTAACCAACAATTTCAATGTAAATGGGACGCTGGACCCGTTTTCCAGCAGGTGAAGCTCCCCACCAATAGATGGAGCCTCCCTGTGAATGCTAGAGGGGTCTGCTCTTATCAGCTCCCCTAGCATCAGCCCGGGTATGTTTAAAAAAAAANAAAAAAAAAAAAAAAAAAAAAAAAAAGGGGTTTGGGTCAGGGTTTGCGAACTGGATTCATGCCATGTATGTCAATGCCAGGTCATGTGTTGTAGTGAATGCCCATATGTCTGAGGAGTTCCCTCTGTCCCGGTCCTTGAGACAGGGATGCCCCCTAGCCCCCCTGATTTTTGTTTTGCAGTTAGAAGTCCTATTAGATAATATTAGATTTAATGATAAGATCTTAGGATTGGAACTGTCTCCTACGTTACATTGGAAGGGAGGGGCAATTGCTGACGACCTTACCGTCACCTGCGAGAACTCCACTTCCTCTCTAAATGAATTAAGAACAGTATTAGAGGAATATTGTGTATTATCTGAGGCTTCAATAAATTGGTCAAAATCGGTATATTTTATACATCCTATGTATAAATTGAAGGTTGAATGGGGCCTGAGGATTATTCCCACTGAGAACTCAGAGCGGTTTATGGGAATCCAAGTCTCCTTGGGCGATTGCTCCAGGTCTCAAGACCAGCTGTTGTCAGATCGGGTAACAGCCAGGATACACAGCTGGATTCGTAACTATAAACTGTCCCTTTTTGGAAGGGCTCTCGTAATATCAACAGCGGCCTTTTCTATTCTCTGGTTTCCCCTGACTATCTGTTTGCTTGAAGATGAAGCCTACAGGAGCATCCGCAAGTCGGCAGCAAGATATCTTTGGAAGCCATCGGCGGAAGAGAATCAAGGGTTTATCACCAAGGTGGCTGGGGATGCAGTTGCCCTTCCCAGAGCGCAGGGGGGGCTTGGGATCCTGGATCTGCAAACTCAGAATCTTGCATTGTTGGCCAAATGGATTATAAAAGCGTTATTCGAGGACCCAAGTAAAATATGGGTCAGAATGGCAGAATATGTACTAGGGAATGAGTGGTCCTTGCAGGATGCTGCCTCAGTCTGGCATTGCTGTTTCATCCCGTCTTTCCTGAATAGAAGGGTGAGATCTAAAGTGTGGCGGGGTATTTTGGCGGCTTGGAAGAGACTTCAACCGGTAGCATTGAAGAAACCATCTTCTAGACAAGAAGTGGCCAACCAGCTGCTGTTTGAGAATAGGTTTATTCAGTTACCTAATGGGGAGACTTGCTCTGCAAGAGAGGGTGTAGGAAACTTTGGACGGACTTGGGTGGGAAAAGGGGTGACTCAGATCAAACAT